CTAGGAAGTAGGCGGAATATGAACCGACCGGGGTATTCTGGACATTTCCATTAAGTCGGCCGGGGCATTTTGGGGACTTCAGGTATATATTGTACTCCTATATAAAGGACTGAGGTAATCCCAAAACCCTAACTCCCATTTATTCCAGATCCTTTTCATTACTGCTGCTGCTCTGATAGCAACTATCATCACCTCTCTCATATACTGACTTGAGCGTCGGAGGCTCTACGCCGGAAACCTCTCCGGCGTTGAGTTCTTGCAGGTGTTCTTGCGGCCTTTGATGGGTTAGGAGTCATTTATGAATTTTTGAACTTGGTCTAGCTGCTGGATTTTATAAAAATCTTGTTAATCTGAATACTCGACCAATTGAGTTGAAATTTTGAGGGTAACACCCTCTTTTGATATGGCATGTTGTTAAAATATTCACATACACCTACAATAATACAAACATAATTAATTAAAAAATAACCACTAAATATAATTATATAATTCATAAGAAAAATCATAATATAAAAAACATACCAATTTGTGAGGACGTGCTTCCTATTATTTTTTTGGGTCGTCCACGATTTCTTTTAAGAGACGTAAGTGGTACTTGATCGTCAGTTGTGTGATCCAGTATCTCACTCGATATAGTTGGGTATGGAGTTGGAGTGACTGTTATTTTTTCAAGTTCTAAAAAACATAAACAATTAAAAAATATTTACTTAAAAAATTATATTGAAATCAAATGCAATAAGTGATAAATTTAGTATTTAAATCACAACATACCCGTTTGTGTGGACGTACTTTCTAGAATCTTTTTTGGTGTCCACACTTTCTTTTAATGGACGTAAGTGGTACTTGATCGTCAACCGGGTGATCCAATATCTCACTCGATATAGTTGGGCATGGAGTTGGAGTGATAGTTATTTTTTCACGTTCTAAAAAATGTAAACAATTATAATATATTTACTAAAAAATGTTATATTGAAATCACATGCAATAATTGATACGATTAGTATTAACTAACAACATACCAGTTTGTGAGGACGTATTTCCTCTAATCTTTTTAGGCTGACCACATTTTCTTTTAAGAGTTGTAGGTGGTGCTTTATCGGCAGCATGGTCATTCAACATCTCATAATGGGAATCAATACCTACAATAATTGAAACATAAAAGTTATAAAAGCGCACTATTTCAAATTTGAAAATCCATAGTTGGATTTGTTAAAAAAATACATGAAACTAAATATAACATCCCAATGGACATTTTTATTTCCTTGTGGTTGCTTGAATATATTATCAGGACTAATAAGCAAATTGTCGTTAACATCGTCATTTGTCAGATCAATGAAGAGTGACAGTCCTAAATTTTACGCGAGCAAATATGATCACAAATAAATAGATCACACGTGGTAAGATATAATTAATAGATATTATAGTATAAATAAATACACTATTAATATAGCACAACATATGTAATGTAATTGGACAGAAATATAAGTGTATTGTTGTAGCACAAATTGTTATTTTTACCGAGTACAGAATCGAAAGATTCGTTCCCCGGGTCGATCTCACGAGGAAGGCGGTTCAGAATTTAGCTTTGATATTAATAACACATAAAAAGAAAATAAATCCTAAACACTCTAATCAAATAGCAGATTGGTTGAATTATTAACTAAGAAATAAAATAAAGATAATAATCTACCTAAAAATGCAGACGAAACAAAGATGGAGAAGCTAGGGAGTCGGGGATAATTAATCCAAGTTCTATTTGCAAAACCGGGACATTGATCATCCTATTCCAGATTGACACTCTCGCTTAAACATCTAGCGGTTCGCTCCCAATAACTCTTCGTAACAAGGGAGTGAACATAGACAAACAAACTCGAGAATACGACACATGCCAATTATCCCATCCCAATAACTTTTCGTAACAAAGGACGGGTCATCGACAAGTGCGTATTTCAACCCAAAACCTATAGACTATTCAATTACAAAATCATCTACCTCATGTGAGCCTAGATCTATGACTTCTCCCCTTTCGTTTCAAAAAGTCGCTAATTCAATTAGAAGGGTATTAATCGACTAACCATGAAGAATCAACAAATCCTAACTCAACAAATTAATATTCAATCGTTTCCAATTGCAAGATCGAAGTGTCACTCTTCGATTATATCAATCAATTAAGCACAAATTCATCAATTCCTAATCAATTCAACTCACATAAGAGTTAGCTATGTAAAATCAATCCAACACAATTAATCATTCTCCTAAAATCAACCATTTTCATGAATTAATTAAAAGAGAAAAACTTACATTTAGTCCCAAAATCCAAGTGTTGAATGGAGTTACAAGCTTAATCCTTAAGTGCTATGAAGAAGAAGAAGAAAAATGGAAAAGAAACGTGAAGAAAGGAAGAAAAACGATGGAGAAGAAGAGAGGAAAAGAAGGGGAAGAGATGAGTTTTTCGTGTTTTCTCGGGCCCGAGGGTTTTCACCCCGGTCGAGATATGTTCTCTGTCGAGGTCCCGTCTCTCTCGTATATATAGTCGCACAGTGCCGCACCGTAAAGGGGTGTCGCGCGTGCGAGGAAGTGCGGTGTCATGCCGCAGAGTTGCGTCGCGCCGCGGTGACTGCTGGTGTCGCGCCGCGGTGCGCGTAAGCCTGGGAGTCTCTGTCCGGTTCGCGTCTCGGGCTCGTTTACACTCGTTCGGACTCAGAATTTGATTCCGTTTTCTCCTACGCGTCGCTAACGAACCCCTCTATTCAATGACTCTTGAATAGCCAAATTATTCTTCAAATACAATCCTCCCAAAGCTCTTGACCGTCACACTAAAGGCGTGATTCGCGTGCGACTTCGCGCGACTTCGCGTTTTGGGCCCGTCTGGACTCATACGAACTCGAAATCGAGTTTTGTTTTTCCTATGTGTAGCCAACGAACCCATATACACATCCATGGTTTCCCAGGCTAAATCTATTCTTCACGGGGCCTCCGACCTGCACACCAAAAAAAACAAGGAAAAACCAGAAAAACATACGGAAAACACAAAAAAGACCGAAACAACGAAAAACACACAAAAAATGACAAAACAACCCAAAACCATCTAAAAGACCTAATATGAGGGAAAAAGAAAGAGAAAATAACAAGGAAAAACGCAACAAAAATGGGACAAACATGTATCACCTGATCCAATAATTTTTGATGTCGTATTTATTGAAGTCAATGTAGGATCTGTTTCAAGTACTACATAAGAAAAAATTGTTAATAAAGTATATGCTTGTAAATAAGTAAAAAAAATTAATGATAATTTAGTTTTCAATAATGTTTACCATTGGTGATATCTACTAATGGTACACTTTGAGTAGTATGCAACACACTTCGATATTGATATGAAACACTGCCCAAAGGATTGTTGTTTTCTTGACGAATAAGTGATGCTCCATTGATAAGAGATGGTCTCTAAAATCATGTAGAAAATAATCTACTAATAATATAGATCATCTATTAACATAAAAAAATTAAAATTTAATAATTCATTATAAAAATTTAAATTATGTTATTACTGTTAGAAGTATGCTGTAAAAGCTGTGTTTTGCATATTCTATCAATTCCATTTTGGTCTGGCAATCATGTTTCGATCAAAGTACATATGTTTGCAGTTTATTTATTTATGCAATACATACTCCATGTCTTATATTGAGGTAGTGTGGTTCGAAAAGTTTCGAACAGAAAGATCACCTATCGGTTCCTTATAAGACTAAACTATTCGTTCACAGTCTAGACTGGCAGTGAGACCCCACTTGGAAAAAGACTGTAGTGTAGACTCGATTCAGTTAGCCTTTGACTGAAGGATTACACTGCACTTATGTTAAGTGTTGAACAGGACCGCAGAAGGCAAAGGTTATGAGACTCACTAACCGTTGTTGTAACCTCGCCCTTCAGTGATTGATGCGTTCTCTTAAGCTGTAATATAATATAAAATAGGCATATATTTTTATCTCTTATTTATTTGATTTACCAAGTGATTCCTATTCTGTTAGGATGACATACGAGGTATTTTGGTAAGTAAGAATAATTATATGATGTGCTATTATAGATTATTTACAGTCACTATGTTCCAGTGCGCTGGGTTGATGACGTCTCCGAAATGAGCTCAGAAAGGAACATTATGTTAAACCCTGCAGGTAGACGATTGTCTGACATAATGGTTAAAGGCTGAGTGGTACTAATTTCGGAAATGAATAAGAAGTTGATTAATTATTTTGTCAGTAATTTAATTAATCAACGGACGTTATATCTTAAACATAGGGAGGTAAATCGATCAGTTAGATTAATATTATTTAATCATGGAGGCTCGATTTTATTGGTAAAATAGTGACTAAATGGGGAGAGCAATAATATTACTCTAGTGGGATGTTTTATTATTTAATTCATTAAATAGGAATTAATTTTATTACATATTAATTAATTAATTAGGAGAATAAAATTTCTACTAGAATCTTCTCTTGGGATTAGGAGACTTGGGAGTCTTCTAGAAGATGAAGATTAGTGGGAAACATATTTCCTACATTATAATATTAATTGGAGTAAAATTAGGTATCCTAAATTAGGAATTAATTCTATTCCATGATTATTAATTTAATTAGGAAAGGAAATTCCTACAAGGATCTTCTCTAGTGTTAGAAGACTTAGGAATCTTCTAGAAGAGAAGGATTAGTAGGAGATCTCCTTCCTAGATTGAGTTAGTATTGGATTAGAATTAGGTTTCCTAGGCCTAATGGAATAAGCCCATATTTAGCATCTCCTTAAGGTCCCTAATGGAGCCTATATATACACCATGTCCCAATCTCTCCTACAAGTTGATGTTGGCAGATTTTCTCATCGACATACACGTGAGAATTACATTGTTCGAGAGTTAGGGAGATCCGATTAAACGCTCCACCAAGTTTAATCGCAATAGGTGTTTAGGTAATCCGTTAGAAGACCTTTTGGTACAATTGATTGAGCTTTCTAAGAACCATATTTTCTGGTCATCATCATCACATCATCGCCGCCCATTGCCGCCATAATCCGCCGCCGGAAATCGCCTACCGCCGCCGGTCACCGTCCGAGCCCAGCCGATCGCTACCGCGTGCCAACGCCCGCAGTCGCGCCAAGCCGAGCCCAGTCCCAGCGCCCAGCGACGCCTGATTGCCACCGCGAGTGCCCAGCGACGTCCCGCGTGCTTCCCGCATCGCCCGCTCGCATATGTTGCTCGCCATCGCCGATTGCGAGGTCCCAGCGCTTGTCCAGTTCACGCACGTCATACCTTGCGCGCCCAGGAGACTTGCAGTGCACGCCCGCGTGGTCCCAGACGCGTTCGCCCCAGTCCACCTCCGCATAGGCATAGCGCCCACCTGCACGCACACGCCCGAAGTTTCCCAGCGCCCGACGCGCTTCACGCCAGCGACCAGTGCACGCTGCCACTGCCCGCGCACATCGTCCGCGACACGCACGACACCCGCACCTGCTCGCTATCTGCGCCCGACGCGCACGCCTGCTGCACCCGACGACCGAGACCCGCACACCGTCTGTTCGTGATCCGTTTGACGTGTTGATTAGAATAAATTAAAGGCTAAACCTATCCGCCCATTAGGTTGTGGTGTTCAGACGAACTTCACCAACGGTACTCTACATCGTCTCAGAGTCGGCAAAAATTTTAAAAGGTAAACGTCCATATCTTAACTATAGATTCCGCTGCGTTAGGATTTATTCTGATAAAGTTCAATGATGTGCATGTTGTTTGACGTTTCTAACAGAACCCAACAACTGGTATCAGAGCCCAGGCTAATGCAAACTCGTGCACAGTTTGAATTTTGGACTTTGCCTGTCTACATGAATTATGTGCGTACGGACGCATCGACATAGTAGATTAGAAATTCCAATAAGTTTTTGCAGGTGTTTAGAATCCGACTATTGTGGCCCGTATGTACGGATTTTAATTCATGTTGTATGTATGCTGTTTTTAAAGCCTTGGACATGTCAAGGATTTTGTGTTGGTGAATGCTTGTAATAAATTATTCGAGCGGTGGGACACCGCATAGTTTATTGCTTTCATAGAAACTCATGTACGGCTCCTGCGTGGGTCATAGGATGAATTATGTAATTGTTGTTTATATTATTCGTTATTGATCCAGTGGGCGTGGACCAACCTTGATGGGGCGAGGCATAAACACGTACACGGAAGCCATGGTGATGACCCAATGGCGACTTTCCCGGAGACGACTAATTCATTGGGAGTCAATGCGAAAGAGGGAGTTCCAATACCTGAAACGGAGGACACACTCAACAAGGACAAGACTGTGTTTTCTCCGTAACATTGGAGATTGATTAATGGCCATGATAGTTGGATTATTCCTAGTTTATTTTTGCTCATTAATCATGCATGTTTTACGTGATTGCTTATGTGCAAATACAAACATGTTAAGAAAATCCCATAAAATAAAAATTATATTAAGTGTGTAAAGTTGAAATAAATTACATCCAAGGCCTCCATTATAGGTTTGTCAGTGAAGTGATTTAATTCGAGCCCAAAGGACGTTTTATTTCACAGTTCACAAGGACGAATCTCCTTCGAGATGGTTGTAGTGAGCTATTTCAAAAGCGTACGGGTCACCCAAAGGTGGACGTATAATTTTGGTAGTAAACTTAGTACCAATTAATGGGTTACGCTTAAAGTGCAAATAATTACGATAGTCCCAAAGGACAAGGTCTTTTTTGTTCTTTTATAAAGTTATTCTTTTAAGAAGTTAATTGCGCTGGCCAAAAGATGAAACCGACTATTAGTTGAGTATTGCTGGGCAGTATGTCAAGCTAATGGGATTTATCCCTCATCTTGCGAATGTTTGAACCGTAGACATCCACACTTCGTGGCCTGCGGGGATTCGGTGTTTTGAGGTGTTTGTGAATTTATTCAAATGTTGTTTAATGGGATCAATATTTGATGTATAAATTCAAAACTACTTGACTGAGTAAAGACTATGTTTGCATGATCCCAGGAATTTAAAATGTCTTTCAATCCGTTGTCCGTAATTCTCAAATAAAACAAACTTGTTGGTCCCAATTATATTGACTGAAAAAGGAACTTGGATATAGTGTTAACTTCTGAAGGGTACAAATTTGCTACTGTTGAGGCTTGTCCGGCTGTGCCTGCTGACAATGCACCAAACCAAGAGAAAGAGGAGTATGCTCGGTGGAAAAAGGCTGACGAGATGGCGAAGTGTTACATCTTGGCATCTTTGTCAAATGTACTTCAACATCAACATCAGTCTATGAACACTGCAGCAGAGATGCTACTCAATCTAAAGGAGTTATTTGGTCATTAGTCGCGGGCTGCCCGACAAGAGGCCATGAGAGTTCTGATGAACAGGACCATACGCGAGGGCACTCACGTAAGGGAACATGTTCTTGCTATGATGGCCCAGCTTAATGAGCTGGAGGTTCTTGGGGCTTTTATTGATGGGGAAACCCAGGTCGATATAGTGCTCCAGTCTTTGCCGAAGAGCTTCGAGCAATTCCGGTTGAATTACAACATGAATAAGATGTTGATGACTCTTCCGGAACTTGTTGCTGAGCTTCAGGCGGCAGAGATCCTGTTTCGTCTGAAGACCCAAGCTATGGTGGCCCAGCGGGGAGAAGCTTCCACTTCTAAGGCTCCTAAGGGCAAGAAGAGGAAGAAATCCGCAGGGAAGGGAAAGGAGGTCATAAGTGACGTGAAACCTCGACAAAAGGCGAAGAAGCCGAAAGGCAAGTGCTACAACTATCAGCAGAAAGGACACTGGAAGGCAAACTGCCCTCTTCCCAAGAAACCCGAAAAAGGTACTCCTTTTGCTTTAGTCGTTGAAACATGTTTAGCGGTGTTATCTACCAATACCTGGTGTGTAGATACGGGGGCCACTGATCATGTCTGCAATTCATTGCAGGAGTTCCAGGAAACCAAGTGACTTAGAGAAGGAGAGGTTACCATCTACTTGGGCGATGTAGTAGAGCGTCAGCAGTTGCAGTAGGAGACATCTATTTAGATTTTGGCTTAGATAGGTTTCTAGTTTTGAAAGATTGTCTTTATGTTCCCAGTTTTAGAAAGAATTTGATTTCAGTTTCTAAGTTGTTTATGAACGGTTTTTCCGCTACGTTTGATAATAAAGTTGTTATTCATTTTTGCAAAAAGTTCATATGCTCAGGTTCTGTAATATCCCGAGATATTATCAGTATAAATTACGTTTAATTCCGATATAGTAACGTTATCGTTTATTATTTTCGGAATTAATTAAGTTCAGTCGGATTACCGAAATTTA